GGACAAGATCGAGGCCCTACGAGTATGGCCCGAGCCCACCAACACCACGGACGTTCGTTCATTCATGAGGTTGGCGGGCTACTATCAGCGATTCATCACCGGATACAACAGGATTGCTGCACCTATGACGAGGTTACAGTCGCCAAAGGTGCCATTCGTATTCGATGACGACGCGCGCCGGTCATTCCAAGCACTTAAGACGACCATGCTCATGGCACCCGTCCTTAGCATCTATGACCCCACCCTGCCGACGAGAGTGACTACAGATGCTTCCGGCTACGGCATTGGGGCAGTCTTGGAACAGCACGACGGCCACGACTGGCACCCTGTGGAGTATTTCAGCCACAAAGTGCCTCCCATCAACTCGCTTGATGATGCAAGGAAGAAGGAGCTGCTCGCATTCGTCATGGCTCTCAAGCGATGGCGGCACTTCCTCCTTGGGCGTTGGAGGTTCACATGGGTTACGGACAACAATCCATTGACCTACTACAAGACGCAGGATACGGTGAGCAGCACGATCGGACGATCGATGTACTTCATCGACCAGTTTAACTTCACACCGAAACATCTTCCCGGCCTCTCAAATCGCGCAGCAGATGCACTCTCGCAAAGACCTGATCTTTGCGCTATGACACATCATGCCTTCGCATTCGACGAGGAGCTTCAGCGACACTTCATCCGGGCATACGAGTCTGATCCGGACTTCGCCACGTTGTACGCACAGCTATCTTCAGATCACCCGCCGGCCAGCCACTATCGCATTGTCGACGGGTACTTGCTCCTCCACTCGAGAGGCAAGGACTTATTGTGTGTCCCACGAGACCGTCGTCTTCGGACTCGCCTTCTCGGGGAGTACCATGACTCACGACTCACCGGCCATTTCGGAGTCAACCGCACTATTGCACGTCTTCGACAACAATTCCGATGGCCTGACCTCATTTCCGATGTCACTCGGTATTGCGACTCTTGCGAAGTTTGCCGACGCAGCAAACCCCGCAACCGCAATCCCTATGGCGAGTTATGCCCGATGCCCATCCCACGGGAACCCGGTCTCTCCATTGCCATGGACGTTACCGATCCATTACCTCGCGACCGGCTCGGGCACGACGGCATCCTCACGGTTGTGGACYGATTGAGCAAGTACGCGCGTTTTCGTCCTTGCAAGTAATACTCTACGGCTCCCGAGCTGGCATGCCTCCTGCACACCGGTTGGATTTGTGGCCACGGTGTACCAGAAGACATAGTCAGCGACCGCGACACCCGCTTCATATCGGCATTTTGGATTGCTCTCTTGCAGGAGTCCGGCACGAAGATGAAACCAAGTTCAACTCGGCATCCTCAGACGGACAGGCAAACGGAGCGGGCACATCAAACCGCTCAAATGATGCTTCGTACGCTCATCCGTCTGGACCAGAAACATTGGGTTGACCGCCTTCCCGACATCGAGTTCGCCTACAACACTTCGGTGCACCCGGCGATCGGCGTGACTCCATTCGAGTTGCACCAAGGTGGACGGAAAGGCCGTATCTTCGCCCACATTCTCCTCCCACGACCAGTCGACATTGACGCCGCTTGCTCTCCCGCTTCCATTCAGAAGTACAGGGAATTGCTGGCTCAGGCCCACGCAAACATGCAAAAGGCTCAAATCCGCATGCAGCAGCAGGCCAACGGGACGCCCCTTGTCCCATCCGCGCCGGTGATCTGGTTTGGGTCTCCGCAGAAGAGTTTGCACTGGAACAGGATGTTTCACGCAAACTGCTTCCCAAGTGGTTTGGACCTTGGTCTGAGACAGCAGCCGCGGGCGATGAGCCCGATGACCCTTCATTTGTGATCAACATTCCTGAGCATCTGACGGTCCATCCAGTCTTTCACGCCTCGACACTGGCAACATATACACCAGCTAAGAGCGACGACTTCCCGGGCCGACGATCGCAGGACCCTCCTTCTATGGATGGTCATCAGGAAGTTGACCGTGTCATCACGGATCGCAACTACGGCAACAAGCCGCGCCAGTACAAAGTTACATTCAGAGCATGCGACCCCGACGACACTCGGTGGATTTCTGGAGTAATTTTGAAAGCATCCGCACCGCTGATCTACGCTCACTACGAGCGACAAAGGTTAGCTAAGGGACCTCCACGACCTGCCCCTCCCACCCGGACTGTGGTCCCTGCCTCAGACAGACAGCTTCGCCCTCGCAGGTAAGCTCAGTCTTTCAAGGAGGGGGGGGGGGTGGCATACTGCGTAGCCACACGGGCCCTTCAGGGCCCGTCCCAGACTTTCAGCCTAAAAGCCTAAAAGTTAGGGCTTACCATCGTTTCAGCTTGGAAGCTGAAATATGAGGGTCTGCAGGCCCTATTCCGTTTCAGCCTATTTGTGGGCCTTTCAGGCCCAGAGTTTTTCCAGCCTGAAACGGAGGGCCTTTTTCAGGCCCTCATTGTTTCGACCACCCCTAAGACTCAGGAACGAATACAGGGTTTCGGAACACGCAAGAAATAGCCTGTTCGCAGGAGCTGCAGTTGCAGCCCCTGCCTCCCTTCGGAACGAATACAGACTTTCAGCGCTGGG